TAAAGTTTAATAGATTTTTAGAGATTCTATGTAAAATTTTTGGTGAATTTTCTCAAATTCTCTTGGGGAGATGTGAGATTTGTGAAAGTTTAAAATACACTATGAAATCTCTCTAATTCTCTCGAATTTCTCAACTTTTTAGGATTTGTTAAAATCAATTTTTAATTAAATACACCTGGAATGTTATATATTCGTTTCAACTTCTAATTGAACACACCCGTATTTTTGTCGATTTTAATAAACTCAAAAAAAATCTGATTGAATACACCTAAACTTTTAAAGAATCACTTAAATCCCAATTGAATACCCCTAAATTTATAAAAAGAATTAAAATCCCTCAGAATTGGACCCTCCCCCCGCGCCGCTGCCCGCGACCACACACACACACCATGCATCCCACCCCTACCCCTACATAAATAGGTTATTTATCATTTTTCTTAGCTTGGGTATTTTTGATATCTTGTTAGGTCAATTCTCATGACTACCATAAATAGATTCTCACAAATGGAAGAATCAAAAAGTATTTTTAATTCATAATCAATTGGCAAAAGTCTAATCACCTCGTTGCTCCCTAACTAGAACTTGATACTTAAACACACTCATAAGCTTAAGTTTATAAAAAAAACCAATGAATCTGATTAAGTCAATTGATTTAATTAATATTTAAGCTTAAGTTTAGAACTTGGTTATTAAATTAATTACATGAGCATTAAATGTCAAAATTGGCCTTAATTTGGTTTTGGGTTTTTAAGCCCATTAGAGCATCTCCAATGGGAGTCCCTAAGTAGGGACTCTCACCACCACCTTTGAGGACTTATTTAGGAGTTTTAAAGGAATATTCGAGTCCCTAAAAGTATATTTTATTAAAAAATTATTTTTCATTTCATTGAAAGATTGTAACCATTGATGAAAATAATAAATTATCTCTACCATTGATTTTTCAAGAATTCAAATTAAAAAAAAAGGGCAAATGAGAAGTTGTCCCACTTGGGTGGGTTCACAAAACAAGGAAAAAAACATAAAGAGCATCATTATTCCCACTCAAAATTAATATGGAGTTCACTATTTGAGTCTCTGTATGTAGTATTTATATTTGAGAATTCTTTTCAGGTATTCGACGAGTCTTTATGTATTGAGATACTTTGAGGACTTCAATTATGGCCCATTGGAAGTCATTTGTCCCTATATTTAGGGACTATATAGTTGTAGGGACTTCATTTAGGGTCTTCATTGAAGATGCCCTTAGATCAACTTCAATGGTTGAGATAAATTTAGGTTTTAATCCAAAAACAATTTTTCTTCCTCAATAATTTAGGCTTAAGATTTTAGCCCAAGATTATTAAAAATGAATGTAAGCTAATTTGTTTCTGTAACTTTAAAAAAAAAAATTTATGTAGATTATTCTAGGTTTTTTTTTAATGAACATTTTGACCTAAAATATATATAAATTCTAATAAATAATGAAAAATCATGAACCTACCCAAAAAACAGTTTTTTAATTGTTTTAGCTATTGAATTTAATTCTGGGTAGTTAGAAGAGTTGATCATATTTGATTTCAGCCGTTGAATTTAATGAATTTATAAAATAAAATAAAATAAGTTGAATATGGACAATTGGATCAACTAGCGGCCCATTATTTTCAGTCGTTTGATCACAAAACCAGAGTCGTTGTGCTGGTGCAAGTGGCTGACATGTGTCAACCCACTGGGTCCCAGCACTGACTAGCCTGTCACATATGTTGCATGCAAAGACATTGTGCGCACTGTTCTAAAAATCTATGCCTAGCGCCACCTAGGCACTATGCGGTTGTCAACCTTCCTGATTAATGCCTAGGCGTTTGAAAATTTAGAAATGGCGCCTAGACCTTCGAAGGTGCCCGTCTAGACTGCCTAGGCACCTGCTTAGCCCGCCCAGACACGCCTAGACACCCCACCTAGGTTGCAACTCACTTCGACAAAAAATAGATAACTATCATTTTGCATTTTTTTTTCCTTAAATTGTAAGAAACTTATTAAATACTAAAATGAACACGCTTGTTTCCCATGTTTTCATTATGTTTCAATACTTCATAATATATATATATATATATATATATATATGACATTCTATTTTGTAATTCATGATGTAATTACATATATTTTAAGTATAAACAGACACTTATTTACACGAAATATAACATATTTACTTAAATCCACCTAGTCCGCTTACGGCCCAGCCCACTGCCCGACTAGCGTCTAGCGTCTTTTAGAATCTTGGTTGTGCGCTTTAGTGCACCCATAGTGGGTTTGAGTTTGGTGCATCCATCGCAGTGGTGGGCCAGAAAAATGGGTTTCGTCGATTTTTTGGGCTAAATCTTCCCAAATTTAAGCTTTATTCCAAAACTTGTTTTAGGCTAAATGTTAGATATTTTTTGTGTAGGTATTTTACGTTTTAACTCAACCATTGAAGTTGGTCTTGGGCTTGGGCCTGTTAGGCTTTCAATTTAAGTAAAATGCCTAATTAGGCCTACGACGATACAAAAATGTCCTTAAGATTTTCTGAATAGATTTTTGGTGTTTTTCAAACATATGACACACTTATCGTCTCTCTCTCTCTCACTCGTTCTCATCCTAGGATTTTCTTGGAGACAATAGAGAAAGAGAGAAAACTTAATACATGTACCTTGTACTGACAAGATAAGCAGTACACTAAAACTAAACACTCACCATGACCTTAGCACGTATACCCAGGTGTCCCGCGTTCGAAACTTTTCTTCTTTAAAATTATTATAATTATTTCGAACTCTCTCATTTTTCTAATAATAATTATTGTTTTTAAAAAGTAGGCTAGAAAGAGATGGAGTCCCGAGATTCAGTGGCTAGTGTGTTGACCTTCATCGTGAAGTTTGCATTAATTGCTCATGTTTACCATTTGGTAAGAGAGGTGTGCATGGATTGATCTTGTTAATTTGCTGCTTTGGCAATTTGGTGTAATTAACTCTTGGTTTTTCGTTCAAGTACGTTTGATCCAAAATAATGGAACGTTGTCCCCGAATAAGTTTCCGTACTTCTCTTAGTTCACCGTTAATTTACGACTCTACTTTCAGTTAGTGCTAGTTCGGGTTTGCCAGACTGACCATTCCCTTATATGGACGGGCATGGTTCGATTTCGTCTGGTTTACCATAAAACCAAAAATGAACCGAAGAATTTGCATGGTTCGGTTTGGACGCCGATATATGATCAATACAACATGAATATTATTAGCTGATTATATAAGAATTGCAAACTACTTAATAAATTAAAACAAATATACTAAAAATTTCAAACTAAACATTCACTAGTTTAAACACTTGTCAAAGAGAATCTGCAAATAAAAAGAAAAACAAAACAAAAATCTGTCGAAGTTTACAATCGTCAACATGTCAAAGCATTAAGACTTGAAATCGGTCCTACAATTTTATTTCATCTATAACTCAGGGCTTCTGATGTCGTTTTTTCCTTGCTAAAAGATTCAGGCGTTCAGTCCTTCGCAGTGGGTTGTCGTTTGTTAGAATTGCTATTCTTTTCTGTGGCTAATGAGGTCGCTTCCTTGTTATTTTCTGCTTTACTACTCTTTGCTTTTTCACTGCCTCTTCTTTTAGGTCCATTGTCAAACGTATACAAAGACACAATGTCAGGAATTTCCCCCAGAATGTTATAATTCGATTCTGATGCCATTGTAATCAACAAACTAACCGAGAAATCCTTAAAGGCAAAGGGACAATGATATGGTACTAGGTAAAGACTCTCCAATTGTCACAGTAAACTCGTATAATTCTGAACCAAAGAATTCGACTTGAAGCTCAATGCATGCCTTGTATTGTTCATGAAGGGGGTATTTATACTAGTAAGAACTAAGGACTCCGAACTCCTTGTTTAAGCAGGAGCATTTAAACTTACTCGTTTGCAACCCAATATCAATGAGGAGGAGGAGGAAACAACATCTAGTTATTTTGGGAGAGGTTCGTAGTAGATTATTTCCTTTCCTTTTTTTCATGTGTTTTCATTGATATTTTTCCCTCTAGCTGAAATAGGGCAAGGTAATTATAAGTCAAGGTTTACATGTTTATTAGTTCGTACATTTTGTGATTCATTACTTATTTTCTTAAACTAAAACATCGGTAGTGAAACTTTTCTTGTTTAACGCATATGGAAACGAAAAATAGAGTGGGTTCAGTGAAAAATTGGGAATCGGATAAACTTTGGGACTAGTTGATCATATTCCCGTTCTCTTTTTCCCTAAAACTTGATTCGTGACTTCTCATGTTCAAATTAAGTAAACATATCTAATCCTCCTTCCGATCGTGGCTTACATTAAAATAAATTAAAAAACTAGAAGCATGTCTTTTCTCTAACTTCCCTCTGTTTTTCTTTTTGTGCTAAAAATTGACTGCCGATACGAAAAACAACCTTTTGCATATTTTCTCACCCATCCAATTTGGAAGGCCATCCTAAATTTTTCATGGTTTTATGACATTTTTATGAAACAACATTGAAAGAGCACGGGGAGTTGGTAAAGTAAATTAAGAAGAGAGATCCGAAGCGTCAAAAGAGTATTGAGGCTGCTGGGATATCGAGTCTGAATGCCCCGAAGTTGTACCAAACTACTCAGGCCAGCGTTTCTGCATTGCTGTGTGGTTAATTTAATTGCAACTGACCTTATGATTTCTGGGTTTTTTTTTGCTATGCATCTATCCTTTTGTACCTCAGATTTGTGACTTGTTCATCGCTTCATGTAATGTTTTCAAACTCAATTTGGAAAGCAGAGAAGGCTCAAGTAATTTCCTTTAGGGGTAAAAACTCCGCACAGTAACCGTAAGTGGTTTCTAACCCAACATTTTTCTTTTGACAAAAGCGATACTTTAAACGACTTTAATTTACGAGTTTGAGTATTCAAACTTGCGTGCAAATGACGCATTACTGCCTTCTCCAATTGTCGTAACCCGTGTCTACACTTGCTCAACTAAACACTCTAATGTAATGATTGTGAGTGTCATTGACACCCTGTCCTTTCAAATTAGAACAGTTCCAATCCAATAAAGATACCAGAATTTGTGAATTACACAAATATTTGTTTTTCAGCACAAATTTGCATTTATACTACACTAAACAAACCTATATTTTTCTTTTTCGATACACTGTTCAAATACAGAAATACGCTCTTAACCGCTTGAGTTACAACAAGCTAGAGAAGAACAGTTTGGGGGTAGAATTGGAAGAAGAGTGAGTCAAAGAAGGGCAATGAGAATGAAGAGAAGGACAGCAGCAATGAAGGAATACTTAACAGCAGCAACAAGTATAGCCAATGCGATGAACAGCAGCTGCCACAGCACCTGCACACTCGCCCACGTCAGCAGCCCCGTCAATCCGACGGCCAAGATGTTGTTAGGATCTGGGTCCAGCAGCAGATCACCCCATCTGATGTTGCCGAATAACGGCCGTTGATTCTTCCCCAAATCATCGTCACCGCCCCCACCGTCGGATCCAATTCCTTCTTCGTCGCCTTTCTCTTCTTCCCTCTCTTCCCTCTCCTCGGAATTGGAATCCTGCTTCAACCCGTTGCCGTTGTTCGCAAATACTACAAATCTTTTGGGTATTTTTGGGATTTGGGTTTTGAGGGGCGAATAGGAAGAGAAATTGAGATGGATGTGTAGCGATGGAAATGGAATAGATGGAAGTGTTGCGATTGGTGGAGGTGTGAGAGCAGTGAGCCCTAACATGTTTTCCTGCACATCCAAATTTCCCAGGGAAATGGGGAAAGCGAGAAAGGATCCTTTTCAATTGTCCAATTTTCAATTTTTGTGGGTTGGGTATTGGGTCGTGTATGTGAATTGGATTGAAGCCTTTGGACTACAAATTTTTGGGGGTTGGGTATTGGGCAATGCTAATGACACTAATTGTTTTAAATTAAATTTATAAACTAAATGATGGTTGTATGATTTAATTATTAATTAAGTGTCGATTAACGTTTTTATTTTTTATTAGTAACACATTATTTGATTTGCACATTTGATTTAAAATTTTGATTTTCTTAACATTATTTTTATGTGAAATATAAAATTTTAAAGTGGGTGTCCATGTGACTAACTATAATCGTATAATATTGGAGAATTTTTTGTTTTTTACAATAACATCGTCCAATTTTGGATGAAATTTTAACATAAAGGGCTTTGTGGAGACAAATTGAAACACCAAGGGGTATTATTGTAAACTTAAAAGGGTTTTGCGTGCACACGAAAAACATCAAGAGATGCTAGTGTAAATAACTTTAAATTGTGAGGTATAGTTAGGATTAATATTGTCACAAACTTAACACTTTAAGATATAAAGGTCGGTCCGATCCAAGCCACCGGCGAGGAGAACAAAGGCGCCAAAAAAAATTATGTTGCCTGTTCTATTGCTTTATAAACTGAAGAAAAAAAATAAATTAATTAAGGAGCACAACATGATTGCCGCCCAGTGTGTTGGTACGATCTGATTCACCCTCTCAAACTGGAACTGCATAAAATTATCGGTCTGATTCAGTTCGATTTGTGTAAGATATAGAAGAAACTGTATAGTTCGATTTATACTGGTTCGGGTTCCAAACTGATATTTACTCCTAAGTGTGGCCAAGGTTGCCAATAACCTCTTGTTCGTTTGCATTTTTTTTTACCTTTGCTTCTGTATCCCTTGCTATACTTACAAATCCTCCAAAAAGTTTGCATTCGTTTTACCTTGTAGTCCTAAACACTGATTTCCGCCTTATTTTCACTTCGATCTTCATATTACTTGTCCTCCTCCTCTCGTCTTCCATGTTTTTGACAACTGATTTCCTTCTACATCTCCTAAATACCATGCCTTGACGCGGATTTATCAGAAGATGTGTAGAGCTCCGGCTCGAGTGTTTATGCCACCACTTTCTACTCGTGTGCCTTTATTGGCACAGATGCCTGTGGTTTTCCCATCGGCTTTCCCATCGATTTCTTTCGTCTTGTGGTGGCAGATCATTGATGAAGCTATGTGTATTCTCCTTCCTGAGCCCTTGTTTGGTCGGACTTTAGGCTGCAGTGTGGTGATGAATCTCTGTGGCTATGGACCTATGGTCATGCCAGGGTGTAAATTACTTAGGTTTTTTTGTTTGTTTGGTTTTTGTGCTGGGCCCTTTGCTGACTTTGGGCACTGTTTTTTCACGTTTGAGGTCTTGCTTTACATTGTGCTTAATTTGTTGTATTTGGGCCTTCTTGTATGTATGTGCTGTTTGATGGTAATGAAATTTACCCTCTGACCATCCAAAAAAAAAAAAAATTAAGGAGCTTGAGAGCCAGTGCGCAGCATGCAAACAAACGGACGTGTGTGGGTCCCCGCGTATTAGCGACGGCGGGCCCCGCCTAACTGATTTGACTGTTGACAAGTAAGCCAAAACTCTCTCCCTTTGCAATTCGGGGGGATTGGAACCAATGCCATTTAAAGAAACAGAATAATAAGGGACAGTCTTCACCGCCAATCATACAATCACAGATTCTCACTCGTCCCACTTCACTCCCCCCTCTCTCTTTCTCTCTCTTGTTTCTCTCTCTACAGGCAAACGCTGTGACTAGTCGGCCGGGGTCGGAGGCATGTCGAACTTCAACTCGCCGATCAGGCTGTCGTCGTCCGTCGTCAGACACCTCAAGAGGTACAGAGTGAGGGGATCGGGCACCAATGCTCTGCTCCCGCACTCCAGATCATTCACTACAACCGAGGGCCACCGCCCGATCATCGTCCACAAGCGCAGCCTCGACATTCTTCACGATCCCTGGTTCAATAAAGTACCCTCGTTTTCTTTTGCTCAATTTGCTTTCTTTAATTGTATATATTTTTCATCGTAATTCTGATTGATTGATTGGGAGGATTTGATTATGTGCGGCACATTTTGTAAATTGGATGGATTATTTCGTGTGATGGCATAAGATGTAAGAGATTAGTTATGTTAATTGTTGTTGGTTAAGCAAACTATTGTGCTAAAATCATGTTATTTACCGAATAATCGAAATTAGATTATTGTTTAAGCAATGTGCCTAATTATTTCAACTTCTTAGAAATAGCCTTTTTTTTTTCTTTTTTGAGTTCTGGAAATAAACTTTTGATTTGATTTGATGGAAATAGACTTTTGTTTAAGCAATGTGCATATGAATAGTGATGGCGTTTATCATCTTCGTGTGTTTTATGTTTGGTTAATTGATTTTGAAGTTACAAAGAGTTGATCTTTGCTTTTGTTTTTTTTTTTTGTTTCCCTTTAAATGATTGTCAAATTAGGGGACGTCATTTTCCTTTACAGAACGAGATCGTCTTGATCTTCGGGGACTTCTCCCTCCAAACGTTATGTCTACCGAGCATCAAATTGAACGCTTCAGTAAGTCTGTTCTTACTTCCTTTTTGGTTCTTTTTCCTTTTGTAGAGACAAGTTTATACTCTTCCCGTTTGAGGGCAAGAAACAGATATGAAAAGCCCATATATGTGATCTGATGGTTTAGAAATAAATCTTAAATGTAAAATAGTTATCTATGCACACATATAACTTATGTTCAGTTTCTTTGGATATATGACAAGTTTAAGTTATTTTGGAAGACTGAGGATCTGCATATCTAAACCTCAGCGAATGTGGAAAATGACTGATACTAATAGAGTGGTAGTGTATGGTAAAAGAAGAGATGTGTAGCAAGCTTCCGCAAGTGTAACATTTTGGCTCTCTTTGGACTAGCTCTACTAATGCATGTTATTTTATAATTTCAGTTCTTAATTTAGTTGGTGCATAAACCTTTATATGTTAAAGATCTAATTGTTTTTGTTGTTAAAGTCAAAGGTACTGATACTTTTTTAAAGGGCCATTCTTGACTAACTGGTCTCTTAAATATGCTGGGAGCAGGATGGCCAACATATAAATAAATAAGGGGAATATGCTTAATATTAATAACAAGGAATAATTTTCAAAATTTTCTGCATCTTTACATGTGATACAGACTGAACAGTTGTGTCTTCGGGCCTCTTTTTAGTGGCTTAGGTAGTCGGGAACTAAGGGGAAGATCGTATAAGTTTGTTGTGGTCTCTGAATCATTCTCTTTCTCCTCCCCTTGCTTCTTCTACGTGTGTGTTTTGGAAGGTAGTCCCTAGTATGTTAGATTTCTTAAGTTTACTAGAGCAGCAAGAATTTTGCATACTCTTGGATTTTTGTAGTGTTTAAGCATCGGAATAAAAAATTTCTTACGTTGCTTTCACTCTTAGTTTTAGATGTTCAAACACATTTTATTTCCAGTAAACTAACTGAATGTTTTTAGTAATACCTATTGGAATTTGTTAATTGACAGTGGTTGACCTGAAGAGACTTGAAGAGCAAGTAAGAGATGGACCATTTGATCCAAATGCTCTGGCCAAGTGGCGGATACTTAACCGGTTGCATGACAGAAATGAGACAATGTATTATAAAGTGAGTTGCAAACTTCAGCATTCATCTACTTGTATAGTATTTTAAATTGATGTGTACCATGTATCTTCATTAGGTCGTCGTACCAGTGCACAAGGCTCCTGCTTTACGCAGGGTCTGGGAGAGGTGAATGTCGGCTAGCCTTACCTCCATTTAAAAAGAAAATGGATCATGATTTATTTAAAATTTTAAAAAGAAAATGTTTCAAAATTTTAATGCGTAAGTTGAAATGTTACTTTTTTCAATGGATCATGATTTATTTAAAATTGTAATGTCTGAACAGGTTTTGATTGCCAATATTGAGGAGTATGCACCTATAGTCTACACTCCTACTGTAGGTCTTGTTTGCCAGAACTACAGTGGTCTGTTTAGAAGGCCCAGGGGAATGTACTTCAGTGCGGAAGATCGTGGAGAAATGATGTCCATGGTTTATAATTGGCCAGCTGATCAGGTCTTTTATACTTATTAATGGTGCCCTCATGTAGGCCAGTTATCATCACTTTGTGGATTGGTTTTTGCTTTCTCAGGCTTTCATAGGTTGTGTTTTTCAGTTAAGCAGACCACTAGTTCACTTTGCTTGTGTTTACTCTTTTGCTCGTATAGGAAAAGTACATAAATAAATCTTGATTGCTAGTGAGTTGCTTAGAATCATTGTTAAAGAATTATTAAGACTTAAAAAATTTAGTCTTAGCTATCAGTATTTTTACTGAGTCTTTCTTATTTTATTTAGTTCCAAACTTCAATTGTCTTTGTTTTATATTGTCGGTCAATATGCTAGTTCTTGGTGCTTGATTTTCTATCTTCCGTGCATTTTACATGGCTATATGTTTGGAAGTTATGGGTTTTGTATTATTTTTTTAAATTTTTTGTTATAAATTTTAAGTGAGTGATACAAACATTGACTACTTAATCGAAAAAAGCTAGAAGTGTAGATACGGGGCTTCAGAGTGAGAGATGTGGGTTCATATTTGACCGGTTTAACCAAATAGATTACACTTATTATTAAGGTTCAAATGTGTCTAAAACTAGTTTTAAGTTGTATTACTAGAAGTAGAAAGGTCAATTATTGAAGATAGTAAAACAGAAAACAGAGGCTAAATTTATTTACCCTTCTCATTTTAACACTTTTGCAGAGGTATGGGTTATTGAATGTGAATATCAATTTTGGTGTTCATAGAAATAACGCAGCCTATTTCTTTACCAAAACAAGAAATGTTGCAACGTAATTCATGTAATTCATGTGATCACTCGTGGAAATCATGTGCAGGTTGATATGATTGTTGTTACTGATGGGAGCAGAATATTGGGTCTTGGAGACCTTGGAGTCCAGGGAATTGGAATTGCGATTGGGAAGCTAGATTTATATGTTGCTGCTGCTGGAATAAACCCTCAAAGAGTAATCTCT